GTGTGTGAGTGTGTGTGTGTGTGTGTGTGTGTCACAAGGGGAAGGAAAACAATTTTAACTCAGTAACCTGAATCACCTCCTATCCCAAATCTCTGCTGCATGAATACTGTACACACACACACACACACACACACACACACACACACACACACACACACACACACACACACACACACACACACACACACACACACACACACACACACACACACACACACGTCAGTGAGTGTGTATTGATAATGGCCATTAGCATATTTATGATCATTGCCAGCCTCTCATTGTTTGCGCGCTCCATTAATCTTCATCTGCTGCCTGCCGACTGACAGCTCAATCTAACAGGCCATCGCTGGGCACTGGGCACGCACACGTACACACACGCGCACACACGCGCACACACGCGCGCACACACACACACACACACACACACACACACACACACACACACACACACACACACACCACACACACACACACACACACACACACACATATTTGTACATAAAGCCTACTTGCATCAACAATTGAGGGCCATTGTCTCACACATGCAGACACACAGATTCACATTCAGGCCGACAGCGTGATTGACATACACCCCTGTGAGTGTTATCTCTGGAGGTTACCCTCCCAAGCTGTGTGGGTGTCTGCTCAGCGGCTCCTGTGCAGCAAAGTCGTACCCGCAGGCGAGTGTCAGCTCCTTCTGGGCCATAGGTGGGCGATGGTACCCCTTGATCAGGGTGCACCAAGCCTCTCACTCACTATACGCCTAAACAAACACCCACATGGGCACTGTCGTCTATCCCATCCCTCCATCCTCCCCATTAAAGACCCCTGCCTGTTGTTGCCCTAAGCCAGTCCCCAGCAGAACTACACTAAACGAACACCCCTCAGGCTAACGTCTGTAAAGAAACAAACCCTCCTTAGGGCGAAAAGCATAAAAATAAAAAAAATGCACCAGGTAAAAGCGCATCAGAAACCTCCAGTGTGCTAAACATTCCCTGTGTGTGTGTGTGTGTGTGTGTGTGTGTGTGTGTGTGTGTGTGTGTGTGTGTGTGTGTGTGTGTGTGTGTGTGTGTGTGTGTGTGTGTGTGTGTGTGTGTGTGTGTGTGTGTGTGTGTGTGTGTGTGTGTGTGTGTGTGTGTGTGTGTGTGTGTGTGTGTGATGACAGCATGTGAATGTGCGTTTGCAAGTGAGCGCTGGTGTAATGTGCACTCAAATGTTAATGTGTTTGTTTAAAAGCCAGTATGACTGACTGACTCACAGCTGATTACTGGCTGAATGAGTGCTGGAAGCCAGCCAAGTTCAATGGGAGGTCTGCTATCCCCTATCCTAAACCCCCCCCCCCCCCCCTCCATCCCTCCTCTTGCATTACCCTGCTGCTCCAGGAAGAGCAAGCAGGGAGTCCGGATATCAACGTGTGTTCATATTGGGACAAAGACTTTAGATAGCAGATGAGAAAAAAACAGAAATCTTAATTTAAAATGTCTAAATCCACCTCTTGGTATTACCTGCAGGAAAAGTCCAACATTTGAAAGGGATACCACTTTTCAAGCCAAGAGGTGATTAGCTTTAGCTCATAATCGGACTGAACTGCAATTCAGTTTCATTTCAATTATTCAGCATCCCACTGCATTCATGTCATTTTAATTTTTGCAAAAAACAGTATTGTTTGTTTGATTGTGACGTATCTGTTCTACCAGTCATTTTTAAATGAGACAGCAGTGGTCAGAGCCAATAAGACCAATAATGTCCGAGAGGCAAGATTTTAACTGATGATAAAACCAAGCCTATATAACCTAGGCCACATTGTACCATATTACATTTGAAATACTAACAGAAAGAGTAAAAAAGGCGCTAATGCACAAAACATGTTTCTGATGAGCACTTTTCTCATAATTATGGTGTATTAAACTGCATACTTTTAAAAATCAAAATACAACGGCTTGCAAAAAGGTAAAGGAAAAAATTATAATCCAATGTCGGAAGAAATATGTCTATTCAAGAATCATTCGGTGATCATTAAGTATCAAAATATACCCAAAATGCATATGCTCTCGGTTTCATTGAAACATGAACCATACATATTAGAAACACACCGATGCTTTGTGGAAACTATGATGACTATTAATATGTTACATATTTGTCAGAACAGTGTGTGAATGCCAAGTTGTTTTCTCTCAGCGTAATCTTGTGTTGTATCTTATCTGACTACACGCCATCAATGCTGCTGGACATTTCCTCATAACTTTACATCTGAAACAAGACTCCTTACATTGTTATGGATAAACCTAATGAATTAGATGACGTGTGATGTTTGAAATCTATGGACTCGTTTATCTGTAAGCTATAAGATGGTTTAAACTACAACGTGCAGGATAGAACAAGTCGTAATGCTTCTCTTTCCTGGGCCATAAAGCCATGTTTTATAGAGGCTATCTTTAATATTCCACTATCAGAGAATATAGAAGTTTTATTGTGATCTCCCACAGAGAGAAGAGTTTTATGTAGCTTTAGTAAATCATGTCTTTCCTCTGTGATATCAGCTCCTTATACTGTTATTCCAGTGCGGGTAAGAGTTGTGCAGTGTTAACATTTATGAGGTGTAAGCTAATATATTTGAATAGTTTATGGAAGCAGTAAAGAGTGAAATACATAATTTGCTAACATGTACCATGTAAAACAGCTCTTAAAGATGAGCTGTGAATACAAATGCAGACTTTCTATTGTTTAAGCATATTCTATCATTCATGATCAGGAAGGCTCTTTCTCCTCGCTGCATTCATCCAACAGTAAAACTCCTCCTGTCTTCTTGGCAACGTTTGATAGTATTTGTAGTGAGAAGGAAAGCGTACACTAATGCATCACACATTACAGGATATTAAGGAGTGTAACCCTGTAGGTCCAGATTCAGATTTGTCCTTCCATTGATCACTGATTTAAACATTTTTCAATGCATCAAAGAGAACCATCAATCAATGTTTATTTATATAGCCCAATATCACAAATGTTACATTTGTCTCAGTGGACTTCACAGTTTGTACAGAATATCAGTATGACAATACGACACCCTCTGTCCTTAGACCCTCACATCGTACAAGGAAACACTTCCAGAGAAAAACCCATAGTTTAAAGGGGAACATGGGAGAAACCTCAGGGAGAGCATCAGAGGAGGGATCCCTCTCCCACAGACGTGCAATAGATGCCGTGTGTAAATCGAAGAGATAATACATTTTACAGCGTAGGTAGACCAAATGTTTGGAAGTGCATGTGTCTATAATAAGAAGATGAATCCACGAGGATGTCAACAATCAACAAGAGAAGAGTCATTGTTGCATGTTTGTGTTTGATGAAAATTTAAATTAAATAACGGTTTTGTTATCAGGTGCACATCATAATACATCTAACTGTAATACTAACTGCATATTTGTATTTTGTAAAGTTACTTTGCTGATTAATGTAATACAGTATTACGTAAAGATAACAGAAACAGCCTCAGACCCGACCCTCATGATGGCAGGAAAAGGGAAACCACTGAATAAAATGTAGTTGTATATAATGCAATTGTGTTATGTCTATAACAGAGTAAATTAAATGGGAACGGCTTAATCTAAAAAGTCTTTATTTTTGGAACAGACGTTTTGAGGTAAAGTGTAAGAGATCCGTACTAACTTTTTGTTTAATTATACCAATCCTAACCCTACATTCATCCAAAACATTATATTTAAATGTGCGTAAGACATAACATACACTGCCCTGAATGCCACCCCTTGTTGCATTATGTTTACATTTCAAGTACATTTGTATGTTTTAGGGCAATGAGCCCATGACCCGGTTGTATGCTGGAGGTTTAGAGTGATGAGTTTCTCTCTTCATCAGCTGCATTTAGCCCATGATTAACTCCCAATCCTATGGCATGATTAAAAGTCAGAGTAAAAATATTCCATACATATTTAATATTTCACTAACAAGGAAACCAGCTCCCAAACTGCCAACAGAATAGATATACACTCCTAACCCGCACACACTTCCACATACATCTCCCCTTCCTCGCCTGCAAACACACACCTAAACATTTCGCCGCTATCTCCCCCACACCCCGGTGCTGGCTAGCTGGAATTGGAAAAACCAACCCCGCGGTCTCATTAATTAATTAAACACCATGTGCCAGTGGCACCTGGGTACCGGTTATCGCTGCCACTCAGACACACCGTGATCTCAATAACCACCCCACCACGGGGCACTGAAGTAGGGGGGGGGGTTCTTCCACAACTTAAAGGTAAAGACATTTCTTTTTTTGAAAAGACCGAGAAAAAAATGGAAGAGATAGAAATGAGACTTCAGACACCATCTTTCTGTGTACGCAGCAAAGTGGGACACATTTAAAGGAGTCTGTGTGTCTCTCCCTCCCTTACAGGCTCCACGGGGCCTTTCTATCATCTGCTCCAGCGGGGCCCCTAAATCACTGCAGCAATGCCCTCCGCATCATCTACTCTCAATACATCTGCATGTGGAAACACAACAGTAAACCACAAATGCACACACATACTGTACCTTGCTGCTTTTGCTTTAAATATATATTTTTTTTACCAAAAAAAAGGTTACAAATATGTTTTATATCTACATTGTGCGCTCAGGAAATCCCCTTTTCTCTCCTTTTTATAAACACATCAATGTTTCATAAAGGGTTTGAAAAGCTCAGTTATATTTATGATTATATATGAAGATTATGTACGTATATATTGGGTTATTTTGTTTAAGACAACAACAATGTGGATTGGGTCATAAGGAAAAATTAATTGGGCACACTTTCTCTATTTCATACAAAGCTATATTTAAGAAAAATAATGTATGCCTTATGTGTGGTCATGAGTTTTGTCGCTTGGCTCTACATGAGCTCACAGAGTAGATTCCTAACACTACCTTAAAAAGGCAATTAAGTATCTCATTGTGAATCTTATTTTTATGTGAAAGAATATCAACAATTAATGTCATGAACATTTGAATCGGACATTTAATAGCCTATATATAACCAACACCTTAAAAAAAAAATACAGGCATACATTCAGCACACACCAACTATATCAGGATCACTATTATACATTGACTGAGGTGCATCACTGAGGTATACTGAGGCTAGACCTTAGTATTTATTTCAAATTAAACCACCTGCACTAATTGGATCTATAGGGACAAATAGTTTTCAGTTCTGAAAAACAAGCAGCAGCGCTGTTTGGTTTTTCTGCATTTCAGATTTTGAAATTGACTCGGAAGAAATGTCTGAATCAATACGAGAAGCGGGAATTGAAAACTCAATGCAGGTTAACCACACATTTTAAACAAACTTTAGCAAATATCTGAATAATTATATAATATTTACATCAACTGATTCACAGTGGCAGCCTGAACCAGAACAAAAGAGCACATATTAGATTAATAGGTAACATATTAGACTGCCTATCATTTTGAAAGTGTCGCAGTCAAGGCTAACTGCGGCTATTGAAGGTGTTTTATTACACAACATCACAGCGTCCCATTAATGAGAAAATACACTTCAGTCCGTCTGTTGAGCTCACAGCAACCATGGACTTTTTTTCACAAATGACATGGCGACAGGTGAGAATTATTTCGTATCTATTATATTACCATTTGGTGTACACACAGTACTTTCAAGGTATATCCATCTCTATGTTTGCCACCCAATTTAAAAGGTGGTATACAAAATGAAAGTATGTTGGTGACAACAGCTAAGAAAACTCTGATAGCACTTATCTGAAGTTTAATTAGTGTGATTCTCATTCAAATACTGCTGAAAGAAATCTTGTTTTATGTAGTTTCCATTTTAAATGTCCCTTGTTTTTTGAGGTTGCTCTCTTAAAAATCAAAGTGCCGAATCATTTGATTTTATGTCCATAGTTGTTTTTTTCCCCCTGGTTTCCATCATGGAAAACCATTTCTTCATTTAAATTCTGCAAGGAAAAACGATGTTTGGATTCTGTACACTGCTCTGACTTAGCCTTTTTACCTTTAGGTTGAACAGAGCGTGTCCACAGCAGAGATTGGAGAATTGATTGAGTTTGCAAATCCATGGTCAGGACTGTCTCTTTGGGGCGTTTATGTTGGAGATGGCTGTGTTTTCCATTTTGGAGTAAGAAAATGAAATGGGACTTAATTTAAAATAATCACACTGCATTTGTAGAACTTAAAAAGTGTCACTTAAAATCAACCAGATTTATTGTACTGAAATGTCCTTTTTTCCACTGTATTTATTGGTTATTGAAAGATGAGAACATGACACAGAGAGCCTGCCGCAGCCTCCTTCAACAATGGTTCCAAAGTCAAAGGTGACCGTGTTCTGAGGAAGACCAGGATCTGCACTCCGCGCATTACGGAGATCAAAGTGCCGTTGGGAACTCGCATCAGGGTCAACAACAAGCACAACCTGCTTCCATCTACACAGGAGACCAATCGCTGTGAGACCTTTCTGCATCAGGAGTTCAAATACGACCTGATGAACTTCAACAGTGAGCATTTCGCCACATTTGTTGGATACGGCCATGCTGTGTGCAACCAGGTTGGTTTAACTAAGTGATTGTGTGGTGTGGTTGATATTAAGCCATATGATTTGATGTCCGAATTATTATTTACTTTTTTTTTTTAGATTCCCTTTAAGAACAAGACCGACGCACCTGGGGACACGTCTCAAACTCTGAACATGATAATGCAGCAACGGACGGAGACAGAAACTTAAGATGTTCTGCGCGCGCCTCCCACGTACATCTGTCAAATTGACTTTGTTAATGAGCGAAAATAAAACTCCTTAGCTGATTCATTGTCTGAGAATTTACCAACAAGGAACAATCAAATCTGTTCAACGAAAGGAGAAAAAAACATTAACAACATTTCTGTTCCTAGCAAAGTCTATTAAAGGCCAAACAAACTTAGCAACAAAGCAAACCCCATAAGAGTCAGGAAAGTATGTGTCCTCTTGTTTATTAAGACTTCAGGAATGTCAATACAAGCTTTTCTATACAGTAGGAGGGCTGAGGAGGCCAGCTGGAGACACAATGACCTTCTGCTATTCTCCTCGTTGATAATGACCCAGACAGAGTCCCACTGCCCATCAACTAGACCTCTAATAAAGCCAAACACTCTCTATCATCCACTAATAACTTCCACACAGCAGCCAGAGTCAGAACAGGCCAGCGTTTTCTGAATGCGAGGATTTGAACAAAGCTCTGGGCGGACAGGAAGTGGAGGAAAGCATCCCGTTTATCGATCTGGGGCTGTGCACTGCCTGATGGCACAGGGTGGTAACTACATTCTTCTTCTTCTTCATCACCCAAACACACAAAGACAAAGATTACTGTATCAAAGCAAGGGGGACAAAAAACATACACAGTGCAAAACATTTCTGTCTAACAATCAATCCTTTTGGTATGCTCATTTGCTAGGCTCTTGGTTCTGGCGCTGCTACACATGTACAATATCACACACACACACACACACACACACACACACACACACACACACACACTCACTCACATACACTCACATACACTCACATACACTCACATACACACTTGCAGGTGTGGTATTCTTCCAGAGATATAGGTAAACTCGTTATTCTTGTCTTAATTGGTATAGAGATTCCGCCCTTTTTTTCCTCTCAGCAACCTCTCCAGGGGAATGCTGATTGATTTTCCTCTGAGTCCTGATAATACTCCCACCTCCCTGCACATCTACACACACCTCCTCTGTTAGAAGACGTTCACTTCACCTCACTGCAGACCCCAGTGGACCACAGACAATTCACAGTTCAGTTTAGGATTGTTTGTTTAACCTGTCTTCTGTGTTACCATCACTGGCTCAGCTTGACAATGTACCCATACAGCTGGTCTGAGAAGGCCTGAAGAGAGAACTTCTCCTGTACCCTCCTCCTCCCGGCGTGTCCCATGTCCCTGCGGAGCTGAGGCTCTCTCACCAGCTTCTCCATGGCCTTAGAGAAGGCCTCGGCCAGGGGCTCACACAGGAAGCCTGTCTCCCCGTCTGCCACGCTCTCCAGGGGGCCCCCAGAGTTTACCGCGATAACAGGGCAACAGCAGTACATGGCCTCTACAGGAACAATCCCAAAATGCTCTCTGCTCGGGGTGTAGAGCACGGCTGCGCTGCCCCGTAACAGCGCCACCTTCATTGAATCAGAGGGGGAGCGCAGGAAAGTGACACAGTCCTCCAGGTGGAGCTGCGCTGCCAGCTCTTTCAGTTCAGTATAATGTTGAACATTCTCAGTAACTCTGTCATCGTAGCCCCCCGCCACCACCAGGTGAACACCCGCTCTCTGGCCTGCAGGAAGGAGGCTCCTCAGGGCGGAGAGAGCCTCCAGAGCCAGCCCCAGATTCTTCTTCCTCTCGTATCGGTTCAGAGAGAGAAACATGCAGGAGGTCCCCTCGGGAAGAAGCCCTTCCAGGCCTCGTGCTTCAGTGGACTGCTGGTCAAAGGTACTTGTGTTGAGGGAGGGATAGAGGACATCCGTCTGAACTCCTCTCAGACCACTAAAGGTCTCGCTGAAGATGCCTGCGGTGAACTTGCTGTTTACCAGAATCTAAGAGGAAGTACAGAGAGATTAGTTCATAAGGATCTCACATATAGCACAGGCATTTGAATTCCTTCTGAGTAAGTGTATGACAGCCTGCAGTCTTTTATTATTAACGTCTAGTTTGAAACCTAAATGTCAATTTATTTTCTATCAGGGCCCTGAGCTTTTACTTCAGCTTGCCAGCAGAGATCAGGCTGTAGCACATTTTAAATATTCGCTTTGGTTTTTTCAATCTCTTAAAAACAATAAACCTTACCTTGTATTTTGATGTATTCCTTTACATTACAGTTTAAGCAGTTATTAAGAGCCAACCTCAGTCTGGAAGAGAAAGTACACCTCTCTAAACAACATTAGGCTTAGATAGATGTAATTATGAGCAAACTTGCCGAAATTCAACTACTGGGTTATTTAAAAAAAAATGTCATTTTACCTTTGCTGGCATTGCACTGGAAATTCTAGTATTGATACATTTTATGAATGATCTGTAAGTATATACATTTACCATTTTCTATCCAGTGCTTTTAACCCACTTTGAGCATCAGAATAAACTAATTTCACAACATTTAATTTGATTAATCGTGTTACTGCTTAGAAAATCATGTTCCTGTCTGCAATAGGCAAAACAAGGATTTAAAATAACATTGAAAAACTAAACTGTGTCATCCAATTAGTTATAAAAATGATTTAGGATAGTTTTAGCTCCCGTCTCAAATCTACCCATAACACCACACAGCATTTACTATCAAGTGTCCTTCAAACACTTAGGTCGCATCAGGAGCATCTTTTGAGAATGAATAGCAACTATTTTGTTTTTAATCTTGATATAATACATGTAGGTTTTATACTGTGTTAAAGTTTGTAAAACATTTATTTACCAAAATGCTATATAAATGACATTCTTATTCTGGATAAAATCAGATTGTAACCGTGACTCAGTCTAGCCTTCTTAGTAGAAAGGCCATCACAATGACACAGCCTTAAAGCCTGAGTCGTACCATGTCAGCCATGCCAGTGGTGCGCTCCTCCATCCAGTCGATGGGAGCACGGTAAAGCTTCTTCAGGGCCGACTTCCTCTGGGTCAGCAGCTGGTCTGGGAAGTGACAGTAAAACAAAACCTTCTTCCTGTGACGGGACAGTCGCAGCACCGGGATACACACTGACACCTGGTGTAGAATGAAAGGTGTATGATCAGAAATGTACCAGTAAACACACATCCGAAGAGAAGTACTGGTCAAGCTATATGTGACGTTTAAATAAAATGTTGTTTGATTGGCTTCTCCTACTGTCACCCTGTACCTTGCTTAATATTGAGTTATTTCTGTACTGGTTCCTGCACGCTTTCCAAAGCCAATTCAAGCTATTTTCAAGCATTTAAAAAGGTGCATGTTCAAGCTTTTTCTGCCGTTTACAGCGGTAAAATACATTTTTGTATACAGTACATACTGTTCATACAGTCTAGGATGATTGCATTTTTTCATCACAACAATTAAGTTCATATTTTGCTAAAGACAATTACATTTCTGCATTCAACAAAAGTGTGGAAAAATGATGGAAAACACAAGTTTTATGTTTCAAAAAGTGTCATCTGTTTGTTAGACTTGGCATCATGTAGCCTAAATATGTTCATGCCGTTTCAGGCACTTTATTCAAAACCTAAGCACTTTTCAAAAATCTAAAGTGTTCAAGGATTTCTAGCAACCATGGAAACCCTTTGTAATTATTTACAAGAGAAAGTTGATACCTGTGCGTATTTGTGCAACACAGTGGCAAGTGGAACAGGCAAGGGAGTGTACACCTTACGGTATGGTATAGTAAAGAGGTGTGTCACAAAAAGGAGACACCGGTTCCGAACCAGAAGAGCGCAAGCACGGAGCTAGAACGGGAACCGCGTTGGTGTGAAAGGGGCAATAGAGACAGACCACTGTTTGCAATGGAACAAATTATCTGAGCAAAAGAGACAGTTAGGAGCTGCAGAAAGCTCAGGGGAACTACAATGAGTGACCAGACAGAGGGATACGTTTTTCCTGTATGACACAACTCACTTGATCACAGAAGATGACATCGTACTCCACCCCGCTGAGGAAGACCAGGTAGAGGGCGACGAAGATCATCCTCAGGTAGGCACACAGGGCATGCAGGTAACCAAACACATTTGTGGGTAGCCAATCCCCCACACATACCTATAAGAAGAGCAATAGAAACAATTAAGTATTATGCAAGTATCTTTAGAGTTTACTATTCTTTGTCTTTGTTGTGGATCTTTGAGCAACAGTATCAGGTAGGAAGGTGTGAGTTTACGTACCACAGGCAGTTCTGGATCCAGCGTCTCAGAGAAGCAGTGGGTTGGGTCGTAATGGGCCGTCCATATCTGAACGCTGCATCCTTTAGACTTCAGAGCGACAGCAGCATCGACCACCAGACGCTCAGCTCCACCAATACCCAGGTCTGGATGGAGGAACACCACCCGCGCCATCCTGCACACAAATGTATAAAGTTCAAATTGAATCTGGTATAAATGTTACCACAAGACAATACTTGTTGCAGAGAGGGTTAAAGTTAAACACATTGTACATCACTGTGTCATGCAGAAGGACAGATAAATGGAGGAGCACAGTGAGACAATAGACAGTTTGAATATTCACAAAGACAGAAGTACAAAGTGTATATGCATGATGACACAATAAACATTTATGGGAATTACAGCCTAAATCTGAGTAACAGAGAAAATGAATTTCAATTGTTTTTGATGATGGTTTAAACAAACAACTCTCTCCATGTAACCAGAATTCAAAACTCTTAACCCTTGAAGCCCTTAATATTAGGACTTTTTAGCAGCAAATTGTTTCTGTCATGGAGGAAAACCTCCAGCTGATTTTACGTTTAAGGATAAGTCAGACTGATAGCAAGAATATAAATCAATGTCTTGTGTATGTTTGACGTAACGTTGAAAATATTATGCATGCTAGCCTATGTAGCTAATGAAATAATCGTTCAGAAAGCTGACTTTATGGGCAGTTGTCTTTCGTGAACAAAACTACATCTCCGTATAATCTAATAATGGTTGAGTTATATTTACCTTTGGATCTTGTCCGAGTTTTGAAACCTGTGATTATGCTTGTCTCGAAGCCAGTATCAGCATGTACAACTGTCAGGAAACTCTAACGTTAGGACGCCATGTTGGCTCAAATTATGTGTTGTGGTCAGGCTAGTTGCGCTTCGTGTTTGAGCCACAATGGCGCTAGTTTCCTCTACTCATGTAGGCGCTTCCTGTGAGACACGTCTCCTTCAAAATCAAGGCTGACCAAAAACGTGCCTTTGAATTAAAGTACGAGAATACACAAAATCAAGTACACTAAAACACGTATAGGCGATTAAAACAAGTTGAATTTAAGTGGCACAGAAAACAAGCTCTAAAACTAAGGTTGAGTTCATTATGTTATTGGGTGAACGGGATCAGACAGTCAGGCATCTGCTCGGTCACCTGCGCTGGTCTTGTGTTTTGCAGTCGTGTCCTTTTTAGATAGACGTCAGCTCTGTGGGATCTTCTCAAGTTTTGACCAATTCACACGCCGGCTGTCTGCTATTCATTTGACGTGGACATCATCTTGAAGAAGGCTCTGGCTTTTTAACTTGCATCGGGACAACAACACAAACAACAAAATGGTAAGATACTCGACTCCATCTACAAATGTTACTGGTAAAGCAAACACGCTCACATTTACTGTTTTAACGTAAGCCCCCATCTATGGATTTGCTATCTGTTAGCTAGCTTGCTAATGTTAGCTAATCATTTGTGGACGTGGCTCTCTTTCAACCAGTTAAACAGTCCAAAAATACAAATGTAAAGCTGGCAATGGACTAGATGAATGATTTATGTACGCTAGTACGCACATTTAGTTGAAACTCTGCATGTGATCAGTAGAAGTTGAACTCAATGAAAGGTGCGCACTTGTAGTTAAAGGCCTTTGCCATCACTCTCTGACATAAACGCACTGTACAGTTAATAATCAAATGTGACTGAGCTTTTCATACTTTATTGTTTGATAACTCCTTATCTGAAGATTATGGATTATTATGTTTTAGCTGTAAATGTTTTTAAATGTATGTGACAGAGAGTAGACAGAATGCATGGAAGAGGATATAATGGAGGGGAGACTGTTCATATGTCTAACAAGTAACATGTAATGTAATGTAATATGTATTCATTCTGGTGTCTTCCCCTCAGCCTGGACCAGCAGCAAGTGCAACCAATGTTGGGGCCTCGAGCCGTTCCCCCAGTAAGACTGTGGCCCCTCGCGCAGCAGGATCCACAGTCAGGCAAAGGTACACACAATCTACAGAACTTTTACTCTTCATCCAGGTGACAAGTGAGAACACTCTGCACACGTGTATACAGATGTGCGGCAGACGTGACTAAACTGATGCAGTAACCTCAAAAGTCATTCCAATCAACAGATGTTATCCCATATGAACAACTGTTGGACATTTTAGTCAGGCTTTTTAGACACGTTTCCCCATCATCATCATCATCATCATCCCCACCATCATCAATACTACGGCCATTCAAGACTAAAGAGAATATAGTCGACTTATACTAAAATTGATCAAATCATCGATTTAACTGATTTAATCAACAGATTTTCCCCTCAAAGAATCAAAGCAATGCTTCAATTCATCAATTCAGAATTATTTATAGGTTTTCTGGAAATAATTTACTCGGCATTAAAAAAAGCTTTATAAAAATAATCAACTCAATAATCAAGATGTTAAGTTGATCAACACCAAGAGACTAAGAGGGGTCAGCTCAAAACACCACATTGAAGACTATTTTATAGGATTTAAGTAATCCCACCAGTAGAGTGAGACACTTTGAGAATGACTGCCTAGCAGCGTTGAGGATGTTGTGGTGACCTTTTTGTCCTCATGCACAAGACACTTTTATATTTATTCTCTATTGGTCAAATATCTGTATGTTGGACACCAATGTGAAAAAGTGGCCATTGAAGACAACTTTACATTAAACCTGAGAAATAAGTTATCCAGCCTCTTTATCCTGCACACATTCTCTACAATTATTTTTCAAATACCCTCAGCATTGACCCCGCCTGCTCATGTCATCACACTGTAAAGACTTATTGATGAATTTCAGATAGCCATCACTTTATTTGTTGTGCTCCCTGTTTATATGAGGGATAGATGCTGTGCTGTGGGCTTAATCAGTGTTTAATCAGAGGCTGGCTCTTACCTCTTATTATTACCCATTACTATCGTCGTCTTCATTACCTCATTAACCTCCGTTTAATCTCATCACATGAGTGAAGCAGCCATGAATCAATCTGCTCTTTCATCAGCAGCTACTGTAGTTGGTTCCATTGTGAATACAATGTCCTGGGTTCGATTCCAGCCATGTGACCTTTGTTCCTTTGTTTCATGTTATACCCCCTCCCCGTTTCTACCCTGCACTCAAAAGTGTGTTTCTGTTCTAGTTGTCTTGTTTTAAAATAAAGTTCTTTGAGACATCACATTTTATATTTATGAAAAACCTTTTACAAAGAGAAACTAGGAAGCGTTTAAGATCGGGTTATTATGCCCTTTATATTGAGCTCTGTTAAGTCATTCAAACACGTTGCTGTGTCGATATGTTTTTGACTGAGAATTATGTGTGTGTCCCACAGGAAAGCCACCAGCAGTGGCACACGCAGCGGTGGCAGGACCACAGGATCGGCGGGCACCGGTGGCATGTGGCGCTTCTACACAGAAGACTCGCCAGGCCTCAAAGTGTATGTGTCATTTCTAAAAGCAAAACACAGGAACATACACACTGCAACCAATTTAGCCTCTTGACATTTCTACATCCCACTCACAAACACGCACTTAATACTCAGGATTTCCGACACTCGCTATGATTAGTGTTGTACATGTTCATCAGGTAGGATGCGAGGAATGTTTAATGACAGGAAATTGGGTAGACGTGCCTCTGTGGTAAAACAAATCATCTCTAAGTGGTGGATCAGCTTCATTTAAGTCTGTGTCTTTATATACTCACAAAACATTACGAGTGATAGCAAAGCACACTTTTGGAAAACTCTCAACCTCCATAAAGTTCTATTCTGCTGCATCCGCTGCCTTAATATTAGAGGAGGTCTCCTGGCAATGGCTGATCGATGGTGCCGTGGTGGTTATTGAGTGTCTCTCCAGCAGTCGAAGGAGGGCAGACTCGCCATACAGTGCTTTATATCGAGTGCGTGTTTGTTCCTGCGTTAGACGCCGGCCTCAAAGCTTCATTAAAGGATGCACTCTGAAAGGTCAACTCAATTACAGCCTTCTGACAGGGAGAGGAGGGGGCCGCAGAGGAGATGGTTGGCATGGCAATGCTGCTACTTAGTGATGCGCCTCTCCACCCCACACCCCCACTCAGTCCCTCCTTCAGAGATGAGGGCGCCTCCTTGTTTCCTAAGCTCATCAATACAATCAGCCGCTCTACTAAGACTCATGTGTGGTCGGGCTTAGAGCAAATTATGGGATTTCTGTTTGTGTGTTTATCCGAGTGTTGATCATTCTCTCTTTGTTGTGACAGCGGCCCGGTGCCCGTGCTGGTGATGAGTCTGCTCTTCATCGCCTCCGTCTTCATGCTGCACATCTGGGGAAAGTACACCCGCTCTTAAACTCCGCCTGACGACCTCTGACCCTGCGCCTCGGCTTCTTAACACATTGGACCTGGACCAAACGACAAATGAACAACAACCCCCCCCCCCCCGCTTCCCTTCTGCACTACAACACACGCAGACACACAAACTTTTTTTTTTATTCAGTACATGATTTTCATCTGCACTGATGTGGGTATCCACCTTGCTTCTGCCCCCTCCTGTGTTTTAAATAACTGATGGGGTGAAGGTGAGGAAGCCATGTCTGTGTTTTTGTATATGGCCCACCTCCGAGCAGCAGCTGCATTCAAGTTCAGTGCAGCTTTCAAGGACATTGTTGTTTTCAGGCCCCAGCAAACATTTCCTCTTGTAGCCTGAATTGACTTTTTTTTTTCATTGTTAACAACATTTGTACAAATGTAATTGTAATATTGTACAATAAAAAAGTAAAAATCTATGTGCATGTGGAAGTTTACTCTTATTTTGTTCAGACATAATTAATGAGAAAAGCTCCTTCACAAACATATTTTATATTCTCTCTTTGATCTCTCTTCCAGACTATTGAAAGCTGTACATTTTGTCACAAGGCATCGTAAAACCTTTTTTTCAGCAAAATATCCTCATACAGAACAGGAATTATCCAAATGTTCACAGAATTGTGATTACACAGTTCCCCTAAAGCTTAATGCTTGATTTAAACAGTCCAGCCACTTGTAACTAACTGGATGATTTGCCCATAACTCTCAGTAATCATTCTTTTATATGTGTCAAATCTGAAATACTAAAACTACATGTATACTCGTAATCTTTTATTTATTTAAAAGGGACAGTGCACATGAATAATTCTGTAAATGTGCCAGAGTTAGCCAAGAAGCTATTTTTCATCTGTAGTCCCTGGACAGATGTAAGTCACCCTAGAAAACGCATTTCATACTCTTTCATATCATCACCATCTGAAATGTTTGTCCACTCTCCAAGTCATGCTCAACAATATTTCACAGCACGGATACTCCACATCATCTTATCTGCATGATCAGAGGAGTCCAGACTTGTGATTATATACGGTATGCATTATACCGGCTACTTTAAACTGAAGTCTCCCTTGAAAAAGAGATCGATGATCTCAATGGGACCACCTGGCTAAATAAAGGTTTGAAATGATGAACGTTTACTTTTAAATAAGAACACCTCTAAAGGTTCAAAGGCATCATCCTCCAACATGGTCTGCCCCGGGGTTTATTCTCACCAGCCGAACTGCAGCTCTTTTCTGCCACTCTCAATAATTGCAGACAGGTCAAATTAGTTTTTGAAAAGGGGTTATTGAAGTCTTTGAAGTGTCAAAGTTACACCAGAAGGCATTCACACACATCAGGAGTTTTATGGGTTATGTCTGATGACTTACATACCGATGGCTACATACTTACTATACAGTGTATTAGTGTTTCCTCTTTTCCCATGTTCTTTGTCTTTTAGTGGGTCAAAAGGAATGAAGCACAACAAACAATTGATGTTTTAGAGGAAGTACTACTTATATCTAAAGCACAGTAAACGTTTTAATTTAAATCATTCTCTAAAAAAAAC